AAATAGCCCTGCTGTTGGTTCTGGTCCCACCCACTTTTGACTTCCCTGCCCTCCCACCAGCCCCACTGGGCACCAGCCAAGGTTGCCAGCTCTGGGTTGGGAAACATCTGGAGATTTACTGGGTGAGGCCTGAGGAAGGTGGGGTTTGAGGAAGGGAGGAGCCTCAGCAGGGTACAATGCCATGGAGTCCACCCTTCAACGCAGCCATTTTCTCCAGGGGGACTGGTCTCTTATCAGCTGCAGATCAGTTGTAAAAGCGAGGGATCGCCAGGCCCCACCTTGAGGCTGGCAGCCCTGCCACTACACCAAACTGGCTCCTGATCCAGCCCCTGGGCCGCATGTTTGACACCCCTGTGTTAGATGGTTAAATTACTGGGATATATTTGGAGTCCAGTGGCACCTTTAAGACCAACAAAGGTTTATTCAAGGTATGAGCTTTTGTGTGCACTTGTTTTACTGCTTCAGACCAACATGGCTGACCACCTCGATCTTATAGGTTGCCAACCTCCAGGTGGGGCCTGGAGACCACCTCGATCTTACTAGAATATAGGGTTGCCAGCCTCCAGGTGGGGCCAGAGTCCACCCGGCTTTTACAACTGATCTCCAGCTGACAGAGATCAGCTCCCCTGGTGAAAATGGCTGCTTTGAAGGATGGACTCTGTGGCATTGGACCCTGCTGAGGCTCCTCCCTTCCTCAAACCCCGCCCTCTCCAGGATCCACCCCCAAAGTCTCCATGTATTTTCCAACCCAGACCGGGCAACCCTACCAGAATATGTATTTGTAATGTGGAAAGATACATACATGTACTTTGTAACAAACTGAAAGGGTTTTTAAAAATAAAAACCTATTTTCCTCCCCCCAAAAAATATCTATTCTCCCCGCACCGCCTCCAGCCCTGGGCAGCTGCCTTCGTGAAATGTCCCTTCCTCCGCCTTCACGCGTGCCCGGCAGCCTTCATGCCCCGCCTCCCGCCTACGTCACAGCGCGGCCGGCACGGATTGGCCGCGGGCTCCCTTAAAAGGCCAGGCGCGCGGGTGGGCGAAGGTGCTGTCCGTCGTGAGGGGAGGAGAGAAGACCCGCCTGAGGCAGCGAGTCATGTCGGGCACCCGGGCGGCCACGGCGGCGGCGGCAGCAGCCGCCAACGCCCGCGCCCCTCACCCGGCTGCGGCCGCCGGGGGGCTGAAGCGGTTGCGGAGCGAGCCCGGCGGCAACCGTGTGACGGTGGTCCTGGGCGCGCAGTGGGGGGACGAGGGCAAAGGCAAGGTGGTGGATCTGCTGGCCACCGAGGCCGACATCGTCTGCAGGTGCCAGGTGGGCAGGGGCGGCGGCGGCGCTTCTCCGCCCGCGCGGGGTTGCCAACATCTCCACTTCCCCCGTGCTCCTCTGCCCTCTTGGACGGGTCTCCTCAGCTTCTCGCGGCGTGGAGCCGAGATGGGAGAGGGGGGGAGGGTTAGTTGCTTGGAAAGGGCTGCGGGTCCAGGTGCTGCGGAAGGCAGAGCAACGAGAGCTAGCTGGAAGTTGGCAACCTTTACGGAGACGGTTTCTTGCTCGAGTTTATTTATCCGCCCCCTTCTTTTTCTGCCTCCCAGTCCTCGTGTTTGTTTGTTTTTTGCATCGAATGAAGTGACTTAGCTAAACTGATGCTGGGATAGCTTTTTGTTGGCCTTCCAGATGTCGCTGGAATGCGGTTTAATGTTGCAGCTGTGGTCTAAGGTTGGCTACCCATCTGTGGGAATAAATCCTCTTTTTTGTTATCTCCTCCAACTCCCCTCCCCTCCCCGTATTATTGTCTCTGTCTTTCTCTATATTGATAGATCCAGGTGGGTAGCTGTGTTGGTCTGAAGCAATAAGACAAAAATGCTGGAGTCCGGTGGCACTTTTAAGACCGGCAAAGTTTAATTCTGGGTACAAGCTTTTGGGTGCAATGCACACTTCCTCGGGTACTTGAAGCTTGTATCCAGAATTAAACTTTTTTGGTCTTAAAGGTGCCACTGGACTCAAACTTTGTTCTGTTTCTTTGTACCGGTTGCTAGTATGTCAGTCTCCTTTCCTCCCATGTACTTGTCGGCTGTTCCCACTCTTTGTGTCCTTTTCCATTACTAGCCTTTAATTTCTCATCTCTGTGTCCAGAGAACTTAAGCTGGTATATATGGATGCTCAGAACAGCCCTATGAGGTGGGTTAGGCTTGAGAGTAAGGTTGCTGACTTGACATGGAAAGAACACTCTAGCAGAGGCTCAGTGAGTAGAAATGGGCAGTTGAGCCTTTTTTTTGGCATGGGATTGAATGACTTCCCCTGATAACTGCTGCGGATCAAACCGGTATTATAAAGGACAGTTAGAGGAATCATTTAAAAATTTGGCAACCTGAGCTGAGAGTGACTGGCGTATGGTCACTCGGTGAGTTTCATTGCAGAACGAGGATTTGAACCCTTGTCCTTTGTCTCTGTGTTGTTCTCTCCCCCCCACACCTTTCTATTCATTTATTTAGAAAATGTTATGTACTCCTTCTCCAGACAGCACATTGCCTAGTTTTACATTTGCTTTTCCTCTTTATCCCCCCCCCCATATTTTGCTTTCTTTTCTTTGTTCTTTCCCCTCCCTCTTTGCCCTTGTTCCTTTCTTAAGTAGCTGCCTTGTCCTTTGTCTCTGTGTTGTTCTCTCCCCCCCACACCTTTCTATTCATTTATTTAGAAAATGTTATGTACTCCTTCTCCAGACAGCACTTTGCCTAGTTTTACATTTGCATTTCCTCTTTATCCCCCCCCTATATTTTGCTTTCTTTTCTTTGTTCTTTCCCCTCCCTCTTTGCCCTTGTTCCTTTCTTAAGAAGCTGCAACTTGTGGAGTTGAGCTGATCCTCGGGGAGAGGTGGGGAGGAGGAAAGAAAGGTCCCAGGCTAAAAATACAAGTAGCTGACCCTTGGTGATAAGTGACACAAGATCCCGTTGTCCAGACGGGAGTGTGCTTGAGCCAGACGTGGTTGAACATTGGCACGTCTACGTTGGGGGGGGAGATCCCAGCTCCGGTGTTGGGTAACAACCTCTCCGAAGAAAGGTTGCTGAAGGTGACCAGGGAAATAAAATGGAGCTTCTAGTGGTTTGGCTTTATAGCAAAAGTTCATGCTTGTTTGTTCAGTGCATTTCAGAAACTTGACAGAGCATTTCTGAACCTGCTGTGGTGCAGTGATAGGAGTGCTGGACTAGGATACGGCAGACCCCGGTTCAAATCCTGGCCCTTCATTTGCCTCTGCTGAGGAAAGTCACCTGTGGTTCGCAGTTTATTTTCTTTGGGCTGCACTTGGAAGGGAGAAACCCTTGTTGTTGGGCAGGGGCACAATGAGTAACCTCCAACAGCTGCAGAGTAGTGTTTAGAACGAGGGCTGACACCTGGGATTCCTGCCCCCCCCCCCCCTTGTAATTTCTACCAATGGATACTCCCTGCATTTTGGTGTCTGGCCAAGTCCCAACAGCTACGTAGTACTTGAAACTTCTTGCATTGTATGTTTAACTGTGTACCTAACTGACTTTAATTAAAAAGTGCAATAGACTGTGATTATAACATGCTTTGGAAGAAGAAGAAGAAGAAGAGATTGGATTTATACTCCTCCCTTCACTACCCAAAGGAGTCTCAGAGCAGCTTACAAACTCCTTCCCCTCCCCACAACAGACACTCTGTGAGGTAGGTGGGGTTGAGAGAGCTCTGAGAGAAACTGCTCTTTTTCAAGAACAGCTGTGCCAGAACTATGGCTTGCCCAAGGTCATCCAGCAGGTGCAAGTGGAGGGGAAACAAACCCGGTTCTCCCAGATTAGAGTCCGTGCACTTAACCACTACACCAAACTGGCTGTAGGGTTGTCAGCACCAGGTTGAGAAACTCCTGGAAATTGGGGGATGGAGCCAGGGGAGGACAGGGACCTCAGTGGGCTGTAATAAGAACATAAGAGACGCCAATGTTGGATCAGGCCAAAGGCCCATCTAGTCCAACACTCTGTCACACAGTGGCCAGAAATACCAGTTGCCATCAGGAGGTCCACCAGTGGGGCCAGGACACTAGAAGCCCTCCCACTGTTGACCCCTCCCCCAAGCACCAAGAAGACAGAGCATCACTTGCCCCAGAGCCCCTATCTATACCTTGTGGCTAATAGCCACTGATGGACCTCTGCTCCATATGCTTATCTAATTCCCTTTTGAAGCCATCCATGCTTGTAGCCGCCACCACTTCCTGTGGCAGTGAATTCCAAATGTTAATCACTCTTTGGGTGAAGAAGGACTTCCTTTTATCCGTTCTAACCCGACCGCTCAGCAATTTCATGGAGTGCCCAGAAGTTCTTGTATTGTGAGAAAGGGAGAAAAGTACCTCTTTCTCTACCTGCTCTTTCCCATGCATAATCTTGTAAACCTCAATCATGTCACCCCTCAGTCGTCTTTTCTCCAAGCTAAAGAGCCCTAAGCGCTTTAACCTTTCCTCATAGGGAAAGTGTTCAAACCCTTTTAAAATGCCACAGAGTCCACCCTCCAAAGCAGCCATTTTCTCCAGGGGAACTGATCTCCGTTGCCTGGAGATGAGCTGTCATTCCAGGGGATTCCCAGGTCCCAACCTGAAGGCCTGCATCCCTGTTTGGGAGCTAGTCTGGCTGCAAATTCTTCACGTAAACCTTGGCCAAACAACTCTAAGTTGAGTCACCCATTGCTTAAAAACCTTCAGACAAGCGAAGTAATAAAAAATTCCTTTATGTAGATTGGAAGCAGGAAACCAGGCAGGGAAGTGGCCGGCTGGGCTATTAGACCACAGAGGCGTGAGAGAGTTGTGAAAGATGGAAAAAACAATTCATTCAAGTTTGTGGCAGCCCTTTTCAACATTTCTCTAAAAGTTTTCCTTACCAAATATGTACTGTAACCGTTTTTTTAAAAAAAAGGATTCTGGGGTAGACTTCAATATTTATAGGGTTTCCAATCTCCAGGTGGTGACTGGAGATTTCCCAGAATTAGAACTGATCCCCAAGTGACAGAGATCAGTTCACCTGGAGAAAACGGCCGCTTTGAAAGGTGGACTCTATGGCATTCTACCCAATCAAAGTCCCCCTCCCCAAACCTTGCTCTCCTCAGTCTCCATCCCCCAAATCTTTCCCAACCCAGAGCTGGCAGCCCTAGATATTTGCTTTTGAACGCTCTGGTGCTGCCTGTGCTTATGAAAGCTAATCAATCTGCATTGTTTTTCTGCTGTCAGTATCCAGTGTTAACCAATCTTCTAAATATGGATCAAACTAGAAAGGCAGGGATATTTGTGGGCAGATAACTTCTGCAGTTTTTTAAAATGTAACAAAAGCTGCAGCGTTGCTGGGGCTGTGCATGTTGGGGGGGGGTGATGGCAAATCCTGCCCCCCACCCCAGTTTGCATGGGAAAGGGTCAAATCCACCTGCTCTCAGCACTGTCGTCCCAATTTAGAAGAAGAGATTGGAGTGGCTTACAAACTCCTTCCCCTCCCCACAACAGACACCCTGTGAGGTAGGTGGGGCGGAGAGAGCTCTGAGAGAAACTGCTCTTTTTCAAGGACAGCTGTGCCAGAACTATGCCTTGCCCAAGGTCATCTAGCAGCTGCGAGTGGAGGAGTGGGGAATCAAACCCGGTTCTCCCAGATTAGAGTCCGCACACTTAACCACTACACCCAACTGCTGGGGGAGGCCCGGGGGCAGCGTGGAAGAGCTCCTGCTTTTAACTTTTAAAAACCATGAGCGATCCAGTCTTAGATCTCCTAAGAGGTCATATAGTTTGACCCTTGGAAGGGTGAGGGTTAAGTCCCTGACATGTCCACTTAACAAGGGATCTTGTGGAGCAGCTGTTGGGAAAACCCTTTCCCTGGGTGTGAGGCAAAGCACCCCCTGCCCCCCCCTCCCTCAAGGGTTAATCCAAATAATTGTGGGCCTGTTCCATCCCGCAGGTGTCAGTAATTGGTCTCTCGGCTTACACAGCTGTTATCCTCTTCAAGGTCAGAGCTGGAAATGTGGTAATTCGCTTCTCATGAGAACCTGCGGGATGGGAGGGAGGAATCAGGTGTGAAGAGGGAATTTTTCTGGAGGGTTCCAGCAAGAATGGGTCCTGATTGGATGTCGTCATCACCTGATGCTGCTTGGCCAAAGAAGTATAATTGAGCCAAGAGCCTGGAAAAGGAGGCTGGCTTGGATTCTGAGGGACTAAAGGCCTGGACTATGAAATGCTTATATTGCAATAAGATAGCAGCATAGAGAATGCTTAAGCAATGGCCTCTGAATCTTGAACTTAAGGTTTGTGCCATCTAATGCAAGTCTTGGAAATG